AGTAAGAAAAAAAATTCATCCTCCACTTCTTCCTTCTTTTTTAGTAGTTTTTTCATGTTATTCTACCACTTACTTTTGATGCCCTTTATTACTTAAATTCTCTCTTTAAAAGGTTTTGTATTTTTAATTACCTCCAATTATTTTGCTCTTTGGAAAGGGACATGAGGTTGATAATTTGATATATGATTTATTTCCACTTATACAATTAGATAGGTGTACACGCAAGATATTTAGGGTGTAATGATATTTCCGATTGATATTTTGATTTTTTAGTGTACTTTTTCTAGATTCCCTAGGGAATACATGCACTTAAGAGTAGGGTTTCCAAATTTATAGCCAAAGAAAAAAAAATATGAAATGGTACTCATACGTATTATCTAAGGACGATATAATATATTTATTTGATAATTGATATTGAGGTTGCTAGCAAAAAAAAAAAAAAAAAGGTATAGGAGGTCGCTAGCAAAAAAAGTAAGGTATAGATCAAAAGGATGGAGAGTGGCTTCAATTGGTCTGGCTCCAACTAATACATGTTTTAACTTTTAAGAGAGGTTTTTTTTTTTTTTTTTTTTTTTTTTGTGGAATTATTGTGATATTCATAACAAAACAAAAAAATGATAGAAAATTGTGTGTTCGCTTGATTCTAATGGAGCTTGTACGGAGTACTTGTCATAAAAAATTCAAAAAATCATACCCTACATTTTCGTGCAAATCAATAGTTATACATTTTGCAAGTTAGATTATGAACTATTAGGTTTTAGCCTTTTTATCTTAAAATTCAATTTATAACAATAGTACTTGTAGCTTTACACTATTTAGTTTTTTGTCATGTTGTTTTTGTTGCTATTTATTTTTCTTTTATGGGACATTGTAAAAAAACAAATATATTACTTTTAAGTAATGATTAGTCATTTTATGAATAGAATGACTCTTTAAATAGTATCCTGACCGTACTGTATACGACTAATACGAGAAGTTAGGTATCAACAATAATCATAAAAATAAAGAGAAAAATACATTGTAGATTACAAATAATTCCTATCACCCAATTTTCACTATATACATGAATTATTGGCTGTCAATTCTGACTTGGAATTTGAAGGTTGGTTTCCAAAAAATTTGATGGATTGAAGGCAATTTTGGCATTTTTGGGACTAGCTTTATAATTTAAGTAATGTAGCTAGAATATAAAGTAATAAATAGACCAAAATAAAATAACCTTTTCTCATTCATGCTAACGTATACAAGAAGGAAATTGCTTTATTGGTTCGAATGAATGAATTCATTGTATTTTTAGAGTATTAATCTTCATCACGCGTGACAATTTGTTTGTCCCACTAACTTGACATGATCTATCCTCTTATCCGCATACAAGAAGAATGATATTATCGGGTGATCGTTTAGTTTATATTAAAGTGTATGGAACGAAATTACATTAAAGTATTTTACGTTATAGCAAATATAACTAAGAAATTATGTGTTGATAATCATTTTGATTTATGTCAACTCAACCAAAAAAAATAAGCATTAATTATCGAATTTCTAAAGTTGAAATGGTTTCAAGAATTAAAAAACATTATATGATATTGTTGGATAGGTTGCTTGGGAACCTAGCTCTACCACTACTTAATGGTCATCAAACCTTAACTTGTTAGATAGGTACACCATTATAAGATATCGATTATTAGTGTATTTCAAGACTATGCTAGTTGTTTGATTACAGGTACAACATGCATGTTTAATTAAGGTCGTTCAGGTTGGCATCGGGCCATCAACATCGTCTATAGAAGCGGTTATGTTATATTATTAATTAAGGATAACTATATTATTAGAAGCTAATCAAGTTAGAGTTGAAGATGACAAATTAACGATTATAAACATCTTGTAAGATATTTTTCGTGTTCATATGGATGACCTAGTTGATAATCCAACCCGGTCTACATACATATGTTTACCCTTAACCTTGTACTCAAACGTATATCCGGTATAAAATACACTGGGATCACGCAAGTAGAATCTAATTTGATTCACCAACCCCTACAAAATGTAAAACTCGTATCATAAAACAGTTTGGAGCTCAAACGTGATCAATCATAATTCATTAACAAAATCAAAATCAGATAATAATTTTACATATGCTTATCAATAATCAATGCCATTATTTTGTGATTATAATTTGCTTGAACGTTGAGATACATTACATATATAGTCATAATAGTAGAAAATATCGATATTATTAGTAGGCCAAAAATATTTCATGTGGTACCGTTAATATGCAAATGCACCAGTACTGTATAATATGGTGGACGCAAAATAATAAAGAAGGGTTTTTATTTGAGTTTCAATCATCAAGGGAATTTCTACAAGGTGGGCTCCCAAATTTATGCTCCTTCACCTATGATAATTGACTTTACAATTATTTCTCGCGTAGTTTTTCCGGATTCTTTCATCAACATTTTCTGTCTAATTACCTTTAATTTTTCTATAGATGTCATTGATTGGTTTTTAAGGTTCATAGATAGCCATGGGAACAAATGATTAGACGAGATTTGATTGCAGACATTATATTGGTGCTCTTACATGCAAAATTACGGGATATTTTGCTTGATAAAATGTAAAATATTTAATGAAATATAATGATAATTATGTGTTACTTCTTCGTAGATAAAGAAAAACAAGTGTAGACAAAGTAAATTGCAAAGTAATTTGTATAAAATTACTCAAATTTTTTGGTTAGTGACGACTTATGTATGTATATTACGTTTTTTTCCCTTTTATATTCGCTTTAAGATAATTTAACACAAGATATTTACCTTTAATAGATGGGTTCAACTATTATATATAATACTTTCTCTCCTATTTTTGTTCATTTATTATTAATTATGTGCTCAGATTACCATTTATAATCTTAAAATAAATAATGTAAATCGGCCTTCAATTAATCAGTACAGTATGTACTAAAATTTTATTTCTCGAGAGAAGCGGGGTAAGAATAATACAGAAAAAGCGAAAGGTCGGATTAAATGAAGGAATGCGATAGATTTGGCATTTACTCAAAGGGATAAATTAACATGACAGCTTTAGATTTTTATAGGAAGGAGTATATATATGAGGTTTATAATTGATGAAAATGAAGCTTTAAATTTGTTCGAATGGGTGGGCATTAATATCCATAAACCCAATTGCCCACCTTATGTTCCTTACTTTGCCACCTTGTTTTCTCTTAGGTTGCTTTCCAAAATTTGGACCACTTTACCACTTCTAAATTTAAACCCTTTTTATTCATGGACCACTTTACCACTTTCTCTCTCTTCTTTTACAAGAACCTGAAATCTCAACAGTCTCAATAAGAGCTTCCTGCTCACACACACACACATACACAGTCCAGCTCATAAATCATTGATACCCCATGAGATCATTATGGCCAATACCAAACCAATCCTACCTTTTATTATTCCTCTTTATCTAATTTAATGTTCCACATTTTTATCATAATTATAATATGGTGTGAGTGAATTCGTGCTAATATATTAGTTTGGGTTTATTAGAGAAGAATAATCAATACTGATTGAGATAACGTGTAATACTGATCTAGTTAAGTCTGTCTGGGTAGGTTGTCAAGTCTACTAAAGATATGAACGGTGTGATTAATTTAAGACTTGGGCTTATCACTTAAGTGGGTCATCGTTGGATAAGTGTCGTACACTCGTTTCATCTAACAAGTAATAGAATTTTAGGGTGGGAAAAAAACAGAAATTTTAAATGCATAGGTATATATCAATGTCAAATTCAATCCTTAATACTTGGAAGAATATGGTCTAAATTATGACTATTGAAGTGAAAGGGATAGAACCTTAACCCCACATAAGAAAATCCTTGTATTGTAGGTTAATTGACAAGATAAGCTAAGTTGAAAACATGATGAAAGATAAAATAAAAGAAAAAGGAGGAAGAGATAATGAGCTTTATATGAAATTAGCTAACATGATAATATGTTTCATTTTGCCATTTTATGTGATGTCACACTCTTTTTGTTAATGGACTATGAATTAAAGAGTAGGTAAAACATAAAAATTAAAGTTAAAAACCATAGTCTATAAATTTATATTCCTATTTTATTTTCTTAACTTCCTGTTGGTTGATGTTGATGACTCTTTGTATGGCATGGGAGAATATTTGATATTTCATTGTTTATTGATTTGATGTAACAAAAATTCAAATCGGGCCTTACCATTGGGCAAATTACAACTACTCGTTGTCCTATTAGCCCAATAAGGGACCCAATACATGAATTTGGGCTTTTTATTTATTTATTTTATTTATTTATAATGATTTAAGACTTTATTTTGGATGCTTTCAAAAAGGAAAAAAAAAATAATAATAATCAACTGGCAAGTTCGTCAATAATCCAACAGTTAGGAATTAGGATAATTGGCTTCAAGCAATAGACCTGGGTTCGACTCCCAGCTGATGCATTTTAATTTCTAGTTTTGTCTTTTTAATATTTTAGATTTAGATTCATCATGAAGCTTTAACTAACTGAGAATGACATTAGAGAAGCTTTCATACGATTTTTTGCATTTTCTCTAAGTTCAAAAAGTCATTTAATATTAAAGTGATAAGACATTCTATGGGGATGATAATAAGTGTTTAATACGGAGTATATAAGTTATAGGTATTATTATTCTTTATTCCTTTACAACATTCTAATATATTTAATACAAGTACTCCCTCTATCCCTTTATGTTTACGCCATGTTACTCATAAAGCTCACATAAAGTAAGCCCGTGATGCAAATAAAAGGAGACGGAGAAAATATACCAAGTATGTTAAGTTTTTGTTTTCTTTTAGTAGTGTTATTATTGTGTGCACAAATTATAAACACTATATTTTCTATTAAAAAATATGGCTCAAACTATTAAATTGAGCACCTGTTTTGAATAGTCGGAAAATCATGCACATATCGCATGATTAATTGTGTATCATGATTAATTATCATCTTCAAGTAACAAGTATCTGAATTTTGACTATTATTTCAAATATTGGTGCAGTCTAACAATGAAACATTTCAATTAAAAAAAATGCTCAATCAATTTTTCCAAAAATTTGGAAGATGAGATAGTTATCAGAGTAGCCCAGAGAATTCTAAAAGGAACTACCCAAAAAAAAAAAAAAAAACCCAGAATTCGAATCATAATGATACATGTATACAACCTAATAGGCTTTCACACCTAGCTGTATGCCCATATGCTGATCACCAAAGTTCCAACTCAACAACCCCTAGAGCAGCAAAATTATGCAACAACGGGTACAAACTCAAATGATGTCTGCAACGGGACCCAAAAGCCGGATTTGTATTCAATTACAATGTATAAAGTAACCTGCTAATCTCAGCCTAATTACCGGCAATCAATTTCAGCAAACCACCAATCATGCCGCCCCACAAACATTGATGTGAACAGGAGGTCCTCGACAGAAAATTGGTTCGGTGGGTGAATCACTTCTTGCACGTGCCCTAAGGATCTCGTTAGCATCATTGATCACTGAGGCAGCAACTAAGGTGTATTCACCAGGTACGAGGAAATACAATGAGAATTGGTGCTTAATTTCCTGAAGCGGAGGTACTTCCAAAGTAATTCCAGAGAGAACACCTAAACAAAAGCAGCAATGCAATAAGAATCAGTAATCGGCCTAACAGGCTAACTGGCACAAACTCACCCCTTGTGTTTAGCATTTCATTTAGTACGAAATGCATGTTTACAAACTTACACTAGACCATATACAAGGAGCTTCTATCTTTAAGTAGACAATTAACAGTGGTCATTTTTCAGCAAACAACACATCTGGTTCAATGTAAAGTTGAAATACTAGCATAATTAATTTCCGTAACAGTTAATGACAAATTCACCAAATAAGATTGTACTAGTACTTCTTTGCTCTCCAAAATCACCACCATAAAAAGAAAAATATACGAGAAGAAATGCTCCAAAGTTCTACTTACCAGCCCACAATACAGTAGCGTTGGGACCCTCAAGACAGTTCTCTCCAGCTACGTCTCTGCATGTAATGCTGAGATTCATCTTGATCAATTCCTTGGTATTATTACGAACCAGAACTTCCATAGGAGTCATGTCATGTGCTAACACTGAGCTCTCTGTTGCAGAACTCTGTAGATCATCTCCTAAACCACCCCGAGCAAGCCGAAAGGCAAAAGTCAAGGGATCAGGGAGCAGCACATCCATAACAGATGATTGAAGGGCCGCTCGCATTGCATCCTTGATATTCAGTTCTCCAGTGTTGTTCCTTCCAGATTCCCATCGGACTTTAATCCTTGATATCAAGTTCTTTATACAAGCATTTAGCTCGGCTTTAGCACTCTTCTCTGAATAGCTTGAATTTCTACCACTAGAAGTTCTATCAACCAAACGCTCCTTAATAAAAAAGGAAGCATCAAGAACTGGTAACTTAAAATGTTCCAGTGGTATCAGCACTCTAGCAGAGGAATCCCTATCAATGGTGGTTTTTGGATAGCCAAACTCAGCAGGTTCTTGGTCAGTAGAACTATCCTCGTTACTAGAATTTTCGAGCAGAACAGAAACGCTAATATCAAATACAACATCAGTAGGATTAGACAGCTCAAGTTCAAGGAAACGCAGTCCCCAAGTACCCCTATATGGATCCTTTTTCACCAATCTTTCAATTCTGTTAGAGCCTGAAGATAGCTCAGTATCATTGTCTGCTATAGATGGTTTAGGAATGTTTTTGCCAACATGAGCAGGAATCTCCATTGACAACATACGAGCCTTCACAAAACATAATCCCTGTGAAACACAGACATTCAATGGCACAACTAAGCGTCTTCCAGGAGGTACAATGGTATTGTCTGCTGCAGACTCCATGTCACATCCCGAGGGCCCTGGCAAAGAGATCCATTTGTAAAATAGAATAATAAATCTATTGGATCTTTTCAATTAACACGAAAGGAAGAAAGAAGGGGAGTGGGAAGAGGGGGGGGGGGTTAATAAGAGCTTGTGGCTGGTGTTCCGATTTTTTTTCAAATATTTGGAAAAAACTAAGATGGATAATTTAAAGGAGATTCATGACGAGGCATGTGAATGTGCAGCAATTAAGTCATAACCATACAATACAGACGTGAGCAGAACCATGAACACCAAGGCAACCACTCAAGTACCACACAGAAATAGTAAAGCAAAAGGAAGCATGCAGAGCAGAATTTTGTCTCCACTAAAAAAAAAAAAAAAAAAAAAAAAAAAAAACCCTACAAGCTAAAGCAACAATCTTCATGCACCATAAGCCATTCATGAAGGTTTGCATTGGCTAAAATAATTTATAAAAAGGGGGAGAAGGGTTTGCTGGAGCTAAACAGAAGTTGTTCATTAGAAAATCAACAAACTTGGTTAATAGGGTGAGCAAGTTCAATCATTGATCAAGCAACATTGAAAAATGTGTAAGTTGTTTATAAACAAAAATTCAATATTATGCTGAGACCTAATCAAACACCCAATATGTTTATTAAACATTATCAAGTAACTTATGTAGAAAAGAGAAAATAGAAGAGAGGGAAATGAAAAAAAATTATATATCGATCATGAATGTGAAGAATTTTTTTTATTCTGGATGAAAAGGGAGAACAAAATGTGAAAATGATGCAGAGGAGATCAAAAGGAGGGAAAGGGAAGAATAACTCCTTTATATTTTCTTATTTTTGTGTACAGCGATAGTTGGCCTATGAATTCATAGCTATTTCTCTAGAATTACATACGAGGACATATCTATATACTTATACAGCTGTACTAAAGCAGAGTTTTTTCGGAGAGAATTCTCTCCTAAACTCTTTACTTTTTTTTTTTTTTTAGATGTTAGCAGAATTATTAATTTGCATAGGAACTTTATGATTTAATTATTTATGTTACGCACATTTTTCTAGGCACTTCTATATTTGAATTTCACTTGCCATTAATTTTAAAAACCGAGCATGGCTCAGGAGTTATCTAGTTTAGATTATACTGGAAGAGTAGTGCCAAGTGGTAACTAGACTTGTGTTTAGAATAGAAATGCTGACAAAAATCATGCCAATCTGCAATCTCAATGTCTCATGACTAAATACATACCTGCATAATGAATCATCAACATCGGGCTGGTCCCATCTTTTGACTGTCGTCCAAAACCCCCAGACCTCCCTGCAGCAGTATCAAAGTCCACAGTGGTATGTTGCCAGGCTCTGATCGTCACTGGTAAAGTGATCTCTGCACCTGGTTTAAGTGGAAGGGCAGATTTCAAATTTTCATATGCAATTGAAACAACAGCATCTTGGTTTTTCCCAGACAATGATATATGTGCTTGCTCAACTGGAACTGTCCCTGCATTGGCCAGGCTTATACACACATCACGAATTTCACCTTCATATAAAATGACAGCGCCATCACCACCTACAACATGAGAGACAAGCAATGGCAGAGGTGAAACCACGGAAACATTTGGGACTGATACATTTCTCAAAGTTGGGGAGCCACTGCTGCGGAAAGGATCAGACAAAACAAGCCCTTGTGCTGCACCAAGCAGCAGGTTATCAACGTCTCTAAAAAGATGTTCAGTGATAACTCCAAAGCAGTGAACAATGCATCCTGGAACTGTTATGGGTCCCACAGATGTAGGAATTCCAGATAATGCAATAACTTTTGATGAATTAGAGGAAAGAGTCACACTGATGGGGAAAGCATCAAAGTTTCCAGTAGGAACTGAGAGATAAATACTATCGACAACCAAATCAAAACCACATGGGTTGGCCAATTCAACAAGCACCTGAACTGGTTCACCAACAACCCAAATCAGCTCTTGCTTACTGTTAATATTAGTGTCCCCTTTGCTAAATGGAGTGTAAATAAAAGGTCCTGAAGGAGCAGCACCCGCCCACCAATCTTCTCTTCCAGAAGTGCGCTTCACAATATCCGTCTGAGATGGACTGATTGGGAAAGAATGTAACCTGCATCCAAACAAACACTTCAACATAAACCAAACTTATACTTGATATATATAGATAGGTAGCAAATGTGCAAGCTGTCACTGCAAGGTTTAAATTTTAAGATGATCTAGTACATTCAAAATAGCTTTTAGATTACTATCATACATTGATTGATCCCATCAACTTTACACCGGATGTGGGAGCAATAGTTCTTCACCAACCTCCACCTTAAAGGTAGACAGCAGATTGAGAGCATCAAGATAAATGAGAACAAGTCATCAACACGTCCAACTTAAGCTAAAACATGTAGCCTATTCCTACGTAAGATGCTAGATATGTGTTCAATAAAGGTTCTGCAACTGAAACATAGGGGCAGGCGATGTAAAAGTAAATGAACAAGTTGTGGCAATTAGCATAGAGATAAACATATAGAAGCATACAATGTAACAATAGCACAAAAAGCTACAGAGTAACTTAAGTTGGCTTAACATTTAACAGTCCAACAGCTAAAACATGAAGCAAATAAAGAACACAGAAAAAATAATCATAAAAAAATTTAAATAACGTGATGGGTTTCTGAGATTGCCATGGTTGTAATTACTATTTTTATAAAAGCAACTCAAAATTTTACAAAAGAACAAGAAACTACATGAGATCACACAGATTGATTCAGAAAACATATACAATTATACAATGAATAATATTGCTGTAACATCCATATTAGTGTCAAGGTTTATTTTCTTATTTTTAGAGTATGGCACGATACTGAAATCACTTTGCAGATTAAAAACACATTTGGCACCACTTCTGCAGGCTGGGCTAACTATCAAGTTTCACAGGAATCTGAAGATGCCAATTCTGCCATGCATAAACAAAATGAAAAAGACAATTATGGCCAGAATTTACCGAATGAAAGGCAAAGCAGGGTCAGCAGAGCGAGTCCCTGAAGGAAGCCTAGCTGCTGAGTTCGTTAGAGCAGTTGCAAGACCATCTTGACCAGCTGGTGTAATAAGAGGATAGTAACTTCTCAACAGTCGCGCAGCCGCACTCCATGCAGCAAGAGGATCACCTGCTCGCACAGAAGATTGAAGAATTTCTCTAAGCACAACCATCTGTAGAGTGCTCCACTGGGACTCGAATAGTGAAACTATAGAATTGAGATTCATCTTTCCACCATCCACAGGACTTGATCCATTTTCCTATCATCAACAAACGGTAGACAGTTGAAAGAAAGTGAAGGACAATTTTAACAGCTCAAGTCTTACAGAAAAAGAGGGGGTGGGGGGGAGGGGAAGGAAAAAAAAGAGAGAGAGTTATAAGGCAGCAAAAAAAAAGAAGTTATTTTCCTTAACAAAGTCACAAGAACAATACTAAACAAAGTTTTGCAGCTTCTAGCCTAAAGACAAACTACATGAGCATTTAATAGAGACTCGTTGAATATACAAGATGCAATATGTACAAGATATAATTTAGGAAGGGCTGAAGGGCTCCTCTGATGTCGTAATGAAACAAATTTGCCATCTAATTTATCGTAAGACTATAAAGTTATTCACCTTTACAGGATATTACAAGAATATCACTAAAATACAGAGTGCTGCTCCCAGCTCAATCAATTTGAATGAGAATTAGAGGTTTAAGTCCAATAGGCACATTAAAACAGAGATAATAGGTATACAATATAAAATTTTAAACAATATCAGAAATATTATATTATTAGAAGGAAAAGTTTGAGCTTTAGATTCCACAAAGAACAAACTGAAACAAAAGTCCTCACTAAGCACAGTAATAAGGCTACATAGAAATGTCACTAAGCACGATAAATTGCCTATTTGATCAAGGGCCTATAGAGTATAGATCCCCTTGCGACTAATATGGCAACATAATTCTAAATTAACCACCCTCCCCCCAAAAAAACATATCCTAGCTATGAGTCCCACTAAAGGCATAAACAACGCTACAATATGCAAAGAATTCAATAGGTATGAGCAGTAATTGCAGCTTATCGCATTGCAAGCTCATTTGACATCGTTCTCTAGGAACAATGAGTGCAGGAAACTAGAAATTCATTCAAAGAGGAGAGAAATAAATATCACATAATTGGCAATAGTTCCAAATGGGTAGAAGACAGAAATTGCCACATTTTCATAATGTAAAAAAATCTCCGAGAAAATACAGCCATAAAAAGCAAATTTCTTCTCCTCCATGCATACAGATTGCTCGAGTTACATGAGATGATTTTCATTAAAAAAAATTATGTCATGGGATGACACAGGACTCAATCAGATTATCAGACTAAAATATTACATTCAAACTAAAAGCAATCAGCCAATACCCTAAGAAGAACTGGAAAATAAGCAGTAGCTGAAGTCAGCTTATTCCCTCATTAACTCTTTCAACATATATGAAGCCATGCTTACCTGCACAGCTTGCACTCCATAATTGTCTACTTGTACTCCTTACTGTGGACGCACAATTACAGTACATTCTCTCACATTTGAGAGCAAGAAGACAACTTGGAAGTGTTGATCAACATTCTGATCATACAGAGGAAGGTGCTAATAACATATATTATTCTTCGTTTTCAAAACAACAGCTTCAATACAAGATACTAGTTTAAGAACAAGCTTTGCAACGATCAAACTTTAATATAAGCCATTAATTACTCACAGGAAGCGGATCTCTGGCCCTAGATGCTTTGCTTTCAACACGATAAGCTTTTGTTGATATAGCCAACACTTGCAAGGCACTTATAGCAGCAAATCTATTATCCTGTTGCAGATACAGCTGTGCTACCAGCCTTGAGAAGAAGGCGGCTTTTCTCTCATACCCAAGCCTTGCATAAAGTCGAGCTATCTCAACATATAGTACTAATCGATCAGTGGCATCAATCAAGGATTTTGCGCCATCTGCTGCATTTGTCAGTAGTTCTACTACGTCTTTAGATTGTTCCCTTCTGACAAAATGAAATAATTTGCAAGGACCAAGATTAAAAAATCACGAGGGAAGGAGCAGAATACAACTTCCAATCTTAGACTATAAAATCCAAACCATCACCAGGTAAACAAAAACAAGTATAAAAAGATCTACCAGTTGTGCAGAATAGAAAATATAAAGACCATCAGCTTCAACCATTTCAGGTACAGCCCTTAATGGCTCAAAATATATTACAGAGTGGAACTTAATTTCTATACTACCAGCATTACAAGGCCAAGATGTAGCGGGTAACCATCCATCGCAACTATACTAAAAACATATAATGATGCATACTCTATAACAACAGAATCAATATTTAGAGCAGCGTAATTGAAATTAACTTTAAGATATAAACAATTGTATCCGTCTAGTAATACTTTAAAAACTGAAGGTAGCATTCCAACTACTGAGATAAAGTTTGTTTAATATAGTCATCAAAAGGAATAAACATCACTTCTAGATTCCATTATGCAACAACATAAATAACAGAGAATATTTACTCACTAATCTGATTTTTCAACCTCAGACCATTTGGAATTTTCACAAACAAATTATATCAAGGTCAGCAAGATGATTAGGAAAAAATATCCCATAAAGGAATCACCTGCAAAGGAATCGGGCCAGCCTCAAAGTAGCCTCAAGTTCAAAGCTCACAGGTGAAACTCTGCAAGAGAGTAACAAGACTGTAGGTCAGGCTAACACATCAAAGGGGTTTTTTCATTTTCAAAGATTATATCAATATACATCAAAAGCTGAAATGTGCAAGAATAGAGTACAAACAATTTCTTTGCAACTATGAACTCTAATAAATATTATGAACCCTGTGGCCATTTTGCCATCAATCCATTCTTGTGAGCTCAAATTCCATTGGAATGAACATTCCATCTATTCTCCTTATAACCAAAACCATTAAAAAAAAAATTAAAAAAAAAGAAAGTTGAATTATCAACTTTTCCAACCTCACTCTTAGACTCTTAGCTTTATAAAAAGTGCCTGAGAGAAGGAGGGGGGGGGGGGCACTGAACTTCAGGCCTAATTGCTTCTTTGGAAAACAGGGTGTAGCAACTTACAAGGCTGCAATAGGTGCAGGGATGTGCACGCCTTCCAAAAACCCTTTGTGCTTTGCGACACAGCCTTCTGTAAACTAAGCCCTTTGCTTAAGAAAGTTAATACTTTGTTCCATAACATACTAGCATATGTTCTCTTCATCTAGAATAAATTGTTTGGAGGTCTGGTTTTCTATGTTTTGGATTTTAATGGTTTGGTATGATCATGTCTTGTTCGACAGAAGTTTGACCATATTTTTACGCTAATATATAAGGAAATGCATCATCAAGTAAGATCTTGTTAGATTCATTTCAATGTATATAGTCTAAACATTCAAATATTTTTGGTCTGATCTAAGCTAGTATGTTGATTAGATCATATAATAAGTAATAAGTTTGGATCATATTCAATCAGAAAAAAGACATTCATATTAGATCATAGATCACAAAAAGACCAATTTTGATCATACCAAATAAGCAACATTCAAGTGAACTGAGGCTTTTTCTCTTCACCTTAAATAAAGGTATGAATTCTGTCAGCTGAAATATACGTTCAAGTCTGATTAGATCTCCAGTTTTGACTAGATTTTGACTAATTAAAATGATATTTGTCCAAAACTCATAATAGCCTCCCATGTTCACATCTAAAATCTATTCCAAAGTGGACAAATTTATAAATGACTTAAAGATAGGATTATTAGCTAGAAATAAACCAAAGTGAGGATCAAAATACTGCCCTCACCGGTGCACATATTACATAAAACACACTTTTTAGTACCTGCGCTCACATCAAAAATCTTTAGAAAATCTCTGTCAATGAACTTAAATATTAATTTAACTGTTGTTTCCCCAAAAGTATCAACATCCCTTTTCCCTTTTTTTCCAAGTTCAACCCATTTTAATTGCTTCTTTGCTAGGGGAAAATATAGGAGCAATTGGAGAAATGGCTATAAATAATAAACATAATTTCACACACATATTTGATTTTTTACCAGCAAAAACAATGACAAGGTGATGCTCTGTATGCAAACTAAGAGTTAAGGGTGATTACATATAATATAATTGATTTCTACCAAATATGATGAGCATCTGATTAGAAGCCCACTTCATAGTGATTAATTCTCCCTCTTAAAAAAAAAAATGTGCCAACTATTCTTATAGATAACAATCATAACATAAAGACAAAGCAAGTATAGAGTAGATTGTACCTCTGTGAATTGTCCTGTATGAATGACTTCCTATAGTGTACAATGACACTATTATACCGATACTTCACCTCGTCCTCCAAAACTGGATCCCTCTGGCCTATACGATCCATCTATTCACACACACAATTAAACAAAAAGTAAACAATCAAAAGCTGGATCACAGAAAAAATAAAACAGCCAACAGTAAGTAAAGATTATACCAGCTTAGATTTATACAAACTAAATGATGACCTTGTCGCAGACGTCACCAATATACGAAGGGCTAAAATCCCTTTCTTCAAAAAGAAAGGGAAGAGACTATGCACAGGAATTAACTAGGAGAAAAAAAAAATACTCCCTAGAGCGAAAATGAAGATTCACAATACAAACTACAGGCTGATAAAGTGATAATACATCTACTTGATGATAAACATACAATTTAAGTGATTTCAAGTCAGTTCCATCCTCATTAGAACAGACTATGGAGTTAGTAATCACTTGCATTCCACGGAAGCCTGATTGTAATATGGTTCTCTACTATATAAGGGATAAAAGACACATATCTTGAAACATACTTTTGCTTAACAGATATACCCAGAATAGACTAAAAATAATGCCGCGCAAAATATAATATAATTGACATATAATGAGACAGCTAGTGGGCCCAAAGATTACCATTAATGCACAAACACTGCCCTCAAGCGCCCCAGCGTACCAGAAAAAGTCCCCTGTCAATCTGGCAAGTTCTAAAGCAGTATTGTAGTGGGCATTGGCATCAACAGGTGAACCGGCTAAAAGACAGTAATCTCCTATGGTTTTCTGTGCACGGCCAAGTCTCCGCTTTTTTGCCTTGATCACCTGCTTCCAACACACAAGTCAGATACAATCACTGGGAAGGGGCAACCAGGCTACAGAGCAAGAAAATTTAAAATCTAAATCCATGTAAACACCTAAACCATAAACCTCCTCTGAGCTGAGACTGGCTTGTGAATCCAGAGGTGTCTTGACAATTGTCCCAGCAGATTCTGCTTTGAGGACCCATTTCTCGAATTCCATCAACAATGAAGCAGCGATATCCTGCATCATTGTGTGCATATGCATCTCCAGAGTCTGTCTATCGGCAGGAGGAAACAAATTCAAATTGTCCTGTCTTCTATTGCCATCTTTAAGCTGCACGAGAAGATATAGGCCCCATTAAACAAAGCATCTACAAGTAAAGAGGATGAAAAGAAGGGATCAAGGAAGCAGGACACATGGAATTTAATAGGACAACTGGACAGCTAGTTCCACACTTTAAATTTGTAGCAAGACCAGTTGATAATTGTGTGACCCTTCATAGTTTTTGTCTCCATAAAAGATACTCAGAAAATTCCACTGTAACACAGTAACACCTTTAAAATGTACAGAGCTACTAAATGTATTTATACCCCCAAATCAAAGATTCAAATCTGGTACTTTTTGGAGTTTAGGGAAACACTGAGTCACTTGTATAACAAATACAATTTCAAGGCACAAGCAGACTCTACACTATAATGTCCATGTAATCCAGAAAGCTTAAATATTGAACAATCAAATGCAAATGAATCAAACATAAGTACATGGAAAATAAAACTGAACCTATGAAAAAGATGACATTCTGGATTCCACCTCTACATGAACATATATAAAAACCAAAATTCAATCTTATAAGAAATTCAAGATCACTGTTATCTAAATGCAAGGCTCAAACTCTGTCCTCAGTAACATAATATACAAACAACCAAATGTTGTCCATTTCCACAAAATTAAAAGAGACCACAGTAGACAATATTACAACTATGGTAGACAATGTTTCAGCTTATAATCATTGGTCAATAACCCTATTCCTATCAAAGATTAACTAATAGTTGGTAAATCAACTGCCTTTAGAGTTTAGAATCAAGGTCTAACAAGAATAGCCTCTTTCCTTTGACAAAATTGCTTAAAGAGACCAACGCAATCCCGCATGTGTAACTAACTAACAATGAAACCCCCATCATGACAACATCCTATTACCCTAGGTTAAAGCCCCTTCACACGCATCTTGATGGTGGTATAGTTAAATTTTGAGCCAAGTGAGTGATGAAAATATTAAATATTTATATTCAAAGTCAAACTCCTAACATCTCAAAATGGCTGCCATTCTGACCAAAATTATTTGCCTACCACTATCCTTGTCACGGTACAATTTCACTGGTTATTCCAAATCCTCTATGTAATATTCATGTAAATTTTAAAATTCCAATGTAATAATCAACAAATTTTTATATGTATGTGTAAACCTCAATATGACTTAATTTGGGATGGAGTAAAAGAAAAATTAAGACTAACAACCTTGCATTCATCTATTATGAGTCATTGTGCCCAAATTAATCTTATCAAACATAATCACAATTCTATCAGCAACCTAAGAATCACATTTTAAAACAACAGCAATCAGGATAGGCCAATGCCACTGCATTGAATTATCGATGTGCCAAGTTGCCAATATTTTGTTGTGGCAAAGGGCACATTTCCACCTCCCATTTCAACACCCCCGGTTCATCTTTAACATTTCCTACAGTATTGTAGACTAAAAAAACAATAGGAATGCGTGGATAAAAAATTCTCAAACATATCAAACCCTGCCTCTGACACAAGATCATGGATAAACTTGCAAGAGATTTGGAACACTGAATAACAAATAATAGTCCAAGTCCATTTGTAATACTGATAATCAATACTAAAAGCATAAGGATTTTTTAAACAGACCAAGCAACGTTACAGACTTGCAGCTGAACAACTCATAGTCTCAACTAAGAGTACTATGGCTTAGAATTGCTTAAAACACAAAATCCTGATTTACGGAAAAAGAAGTCCAATTTGAACCCAATTCATACCTATGATCCAGCTTAACAAACTGCACATAATCTAGCAAGCAGATATATTGATCAAATAACACATAAACCCAGGTGAACATATAAGGCAACTATATGAAATGATGCATTTCATTGAACATAAGATCTGCCAACCTGAACACAAAATCTAACTTACCATAAAATTAACAACTAAATGGGAAATTACATTAATAATTATAGTAATATTACCTGGTCCTATACATAATAGGACATTCCATTAAAAAGGTTCATATCCAAATCCAAAGTAACCATAAAATCAACAATTTCCCAAATGCAGTTATCACATAATAATTACAGGTATACCACAATATCAACTCCTCATCCCACAACAATATGACATTTTTATCCAAATCACCCACAAAATACTCGAGACCTCGGATCAAATCCCGTTTACATAACTACCTTTGCAGGACTCTACATGATAGTTACATAAGAATCACATTGAAAGTAAAATAGATCAAATACCTGCTCATCACTAGGGCAAAACCCAAAGCACTTCTGAGACAAAGAAGAGTTATACCCCTTACAAACAATGTTAAACTGATCATTGACAGAATCAAGATCAGGGGAAGAAGGGCAATGAAAGATCCCGATTACAGAAAGGATTTTACGATTGGATTGAAAATCTTCCCAAGGGCTAGGAGGTGACCCACCAAGAATGAACTTAAAACGAAGACACCCAGAATCCCAAGGTTGATGGGTAAAGGGGGATTTCTGGTGTTCAGTGTAGAATGAACTGATTGATGAAAGATCGATTTTTGAGTGAAGGGTTAACAGAGAAGCGTATTCTCTGAAAAGGGATGGTGAGATTTGGCCGATTGGAAGCACTGCTATTCGGATCGTGCACATTGACTCAATGCTTACATCTGGTTCCATTTTTGGGGGAGTGTGAAGGTGGAAGATTGAGATTGTAGGAGAGAGGATTTTAACTGTTTGAAGGTGGATCGGAGATGGTTTTGTGTTTTTGGTATGTTTTCTGCAAAATGAATGATGTCGAATTGTTGGGAAGGAAGGGCTAAAGGGAATAGTAAAATAAAATACTCGTAATAAAAAAAAGATGTTGCTGAAAAACGTCTCGAGACTTTAGTAAAATCACAAATCTTATACTTCCTCCGTTCTTTTTTTATCGCATCACTTACTACTTTAGAAAGTTTATTTATTATTGCATCATTTCCTTTTTAAGATAAAAAATAATTATGTTCACACTGTAAATACCCAACATACCCTTACTTTTTCACACTTACTTTTTATTTTATCTTACATTACATGGACAATTTTGTATTTTTATGTTTCTCTCTCTTACTTTTTCCCACTACCAAATTTTGCCTCCAAAACCCCTATGATGCAATAAAAAAAAACGGAGGAAGTATGTGGCTGGTCACACGGTGTGGCCAGTCACTATAGGGGTTACTTTGCTAGTGTAATGGGGGTTATTTGATTAATGTTAAAGGGGTTACTTCATCATTGTTATAGAGTTACTCGGTCAGTGTTACAGGGGTTACTTGATTGGTATTACAAGGGTTACCTGATCAATGTTATAAGGGTTACTTTAAGTGGTCAAACGGTGTGGCCGGCCGCACACAAGACGAGCCGTAGTAAAATAATAATAATAATTATTTTTTTTAGGGGATGGAGTTTTACTTTAAATAATATTAAATTTGAAATGTATGGCAAAATCATATGTCGATCAGTGTAAATTGCTAATTTAGTTATAATATTTCCACATTTAATTTTCTTATCTAACGTCCTGGAACGTTCGTTACCTTTTGCCTAATAAAAATACACAATTGGTGAAAGTAACACCCAATTTAACGAGTAAAATTAGAGGTATCAATTCCGTCAAGCAATAAGATAAACAATTTGTTAAAGCTATTAAGAAGAATTGTGTTCATAAGTCAACATAATATAATGATTAAGAAACATGTTTCACATGTTAATAGTATAATTATAAGATAACAAAATAAGAATTTTTAAAAATTACATAACAAATAAAAAGGAAAAAAAATGAAATGTAAGGTAAGATAAGGATGAAGTACTCCGTATAAGTAAAGATAAACGAAGAGTCGAAGACAAAAGGGTTTTAAAAACCAATTTATAAGAGTAAACTAAAAGCACACGTTTATAATGGTAGCCGTTGAAAAACAAAGTCAATCCAAATACCATTATTAATATTTTTTTATAGCACTGTATTAAAGTACTTGCTCACAAACCACGGCATAAAAAAATCCATGAATTTTTGACAATTTTGCTATAAATCTTGTGCAAATTAGCATTTACTAACATACATATTGATCAAGTTTTCAAAGTTTGACCCAAAAATTGGCCATGAGGCAAAAAATAAAGGGACAGGGGGAGTAGGTGCTATGTGCCAAGAGTTGATTCAACCCGACTTAGACACTAGAATTTCACACCTCTGCCTTATTTTCCATGTGTCCTTTATTTTTATCTCATTTGACTTTGTGTAGTATCCAATACACTTGTTAAAACATTTATATAACTATTTTCATACGTGTAAAAATTACAAAAAGTTAATATTAATTAAATTTATAATATAGACTAATCAAACAAGATTCAACATTACTGTATTTCCTTTTTGTAGATTACGGTAACAGTTTTCAAAATTTGACCCATATTTTGGCAATGGTGTTACCCAAAAAAAAAAAACGGGTGTATGTCATCTTCCCGCGAATTCACTGGAAACTTTACTCCAAAATCCCAAAATTGAGCAGCAATAGAATCGCGCTAAAACTCAGCACAAAGCTTCAATAATGTCAGCACCATCAGAAGAAACATCTACAGCTTCTCCTTCTTCGCAACCCTTGATTCTTCGCCTCCAACAATTCCTCGACTCCTGCTCCAAGGTTTTCACTTTCATCCCTTTTCGCATTTGATCAGAAAGTTTAAACACCCATTTCAGCTGTTTTTACATGTACCCTTTATTGATTCTTTGTTGTAGGCAGTAGAAGATGGTGATATTCGTCAATCGGAAGAAGTAATTTCTGGGACTGTTGAGTTTCTCAGCTCAATTTCTGACGCTGCTATTTCAGATCCTGATGATGAAGGAAATCGAAACAATTCAATTGTTGTTCTTACTCATATTCATTCTTTCCTCTCAAATCCTTCTCTTGATCAGGTACTATTTTCTGTTTCTCTCTACAAAATCTGGGGTTTGGAGGTTTGATTTTGAATTTGTGTGAATAGGGTTTTGTGGGCATGTGTTACATTGAAGATTGAAGAACAAATTTAGCAGAAATTAGGAAAAGGGTATTGTTGGGGTTTAGTTGAAGAAATTACTTTTATGTTTTGGATGTGTTATGAGCTGTTTAATTGAGTTGTTTGATTATTGTTGTTACTGAAAGAACCCTTTTAAATACATTTTGAGAACGTTGCTATACATGTTATGGATCATCTACCATTCTACATCAACAACATCATCCCTATGCCTTTAATCTAACTCTTGCCATTGGCGGGGTAAGGGGGGTTGGACGTATCTAATTAACTATGTAAGTACTAAGTAGCCTTGCCCGGCCCCGTCTAGTGAGGATACCTTTAACAAGTTGGTTTTTAACAGGCTATTGTTGATGCACTTTCATTTGAGATGCCCAAGGCTATTGCCAAGTTTGCAGGAGTGTCCCAGAGGTGCCGTGAAATTGTTGAAAGTGTTATTGATCACTTCACAACAAAGTGTAGCCCACGCGACATGATTTCAGTGTTCTCTGAGGTATATACTTTTAAACCTGTGTGCTTCATTTGGTGTAAAATTTTCCATAAACATGCATTGGAATCACCCCCCCCCCCCCACTCTTGTATGATTCAGTTCGTAAGCTATATTATTTCTTACGTGTTATTAACTGATTTAGCAAATGTTTGTGAACTAGCTGTCTAGCACACAGTGTTACTGCATACTTCGTATAATTGAATCCCTTTTTTGATTTCTATAGCATAATAGATTGAAAAAGGATTAGTAGGGAGTCTGGAAACATGAGCATAATGTTTGGACATATTTATTGTAGTTTAAGCAAATTGCCTAATGTCCTCACTCGTCCATTTGTCCTAGTCCTTTTTTTCCTTCTTCATTTACCTTTCTCTTCGGTGTCAGGGTTAAGAGGGGAAGTCAAAGTAGTGATAACACAAAGCTGCCTCGAAACGATTGGAATTTCTGTAATTCTAGAGGGAAATGTGCTCTCAAAATAAGGAGCAAAGAAACAAAAACTGAGAGTGCCAAGCTATGAGGATAGTAGGAATACATAATTTTTCCATGAGAAAGGGACACTGTGGTACCAAGCATCGTTATATTTCTGTAATTACAGCAAGGCTAAAGTCTCAAAATACCTGAAAGGCATTTGATTGGCTCCCCTGTGTATTACTTGTATTGATTAATTTACTTTCCTGACTTTCAGCTTGCTATCTTTGTCTATTGATGGAAAAAAAGAAAAAAAAAATTTCTTTTGGAATCTATCGGTCATTTTTTTTTTCTCAGTAAAATATTTGTTAACGTTTTCAAGAATTTATAAATCACAAAATTATTGTTTATAATTACCTAAGTGACAATAGAAATCATAGTTCATAGCCTGTTAGCTCTTACTCTGAAGTTATACGGCTAAAGAATAGTCCATAATTTAGTGTCTATGCCAGAGCAACTCTTTCTTCCTCAAAAACTAACTTTCAGTTTCATATGTTGTGATGTTGCTTTTCAGAAGTGTTATTGGCATGGCTATGGTCTGCTTCAGATTGCATGGAAATACTTGTGTGCTTAATCATCTATTTATCTCATGCTTAATTGGAGAATTAGAATGATTGTTGGCCACATCTTGTTGATGATGGATGTGTTAATTATTCTACTGTGCTATTGTTTCGTGTTGATTTTACATTTCTGACAACTTGATATCATTGGAGCAGGCATTGGATTCCTATGGGAAAACAACTGATGCATCTGGTTATGTTTCTGCTCTTCTACGCGGGGTCTCTAAAGGTGCCTACTGTATGCCTTGAGCACACACTTCTTCAAAGGAAAAAAGGAGTGTTTTTTACTTTGATGCAACATTTTTCTTCTAATTGTAGATTTTGACTTTAATTATAATTCAATTTCAATATACAAGTGTCAATAGTTTGAAATGTCCAAATATTCTTCATTGGGCTGGAAGAATAATGAATTTTTTTTTCCCCAGCATTTCTCTCCATAAGTAGACGTCAGGCTGAACAAATTAAAGTTGCTCTTCCCATCATCCTTAATGCTGTGAAGGCTGCGTCTTTCGATTTGGATGATAGAGATATAGGCTTCAAGGATTTGTTTGAAGGGGCTATTAGCATTGCCAATTCCATGCTAGGAACATGTAAAAAATTGGTCTGTTAATCTATGACTTGTGAAATTTATCATACTTTCTCGGTCCAATCTCGATCTGGCTAATCAATTTGATTAATTCTTGACCAACAGGAGGATGGAGCAAATGGACAACTTCGTGGCTTACTCAGCTTGTATGTAATGCAAATCATGGTTGGTACTCATCTCCTAATTTTATGTTTCTGTAATATCTTCAATTCATTAATTGAGATATAAGTTCCATCTCTTACCTATTTTTGAGAACCCATTGCTTATAAGCCTTAACTTCATTGTTAATAACATTTATTTTTGGCTTTCATCTCCATTTTGTTTCCTTCACTTTAGCAGGCTTTACTATGTTATGTAATGCTGGTTTATTACGTGTCCTGCAGACTGTTGTTTCGATCAGCGCGGGGGATGAAGTTTCGTCTAGTCTTTCCTTTGTTCAAACATTATCAAGCTTCTTTCCGTATTGTGGTTTATCATATGCGGATCTTGTATGTGGCCTTGGAGTTGATCCACTTATCAATCTTATACGTGGTGGTGAGCTATCAACTTCATCTGCCCTCTTCCTTGTCAACTTTCCATTTATCTTGGCATCTGTCGTGGTGATTCCTTTTCTCTTCCCATCTATGATGTCCAGATGAAATGGATGATTATATGGATTGCTTTTGCTATGTCAAACATGGAGCAGTGCTTTCAAGTGAGTATTTGTCATGATTATTCTACTGTACTATCTTCTCAAGTACTGTCCTGTTTCATTGCTACACTTCTTTCTCGTCTTTTGATCCAGTGATTTGGGGGCATATATCTGATGAAGTCTCTCAGGCAGCTGGGCAGGATGTCAGTCTTCTTAAGAATGATCTTAGGACCTCCCAAAGTAGAAGATGGTCAACTATAGGCATGATGAAGTACATATTCTCTTTAGGTGAGCTGCCTTGGGTCCTAAAGAAGCATGCAACAGACTTCTTGCTGGTCATCACAGAAAACAGTAAACAAGATGTGAATGAAGACATGATATGCTCATCCTTTACACCCAGTCTTATTTCTACTCTGCAGGTATTCTCCTGCCATGTCCCAATAAATCATGAATCATTTCCTCTGATCTCTTGCTGATGTTAGAAAATTTTCAGGCTATTCTGTCAGTCATCATGTATGCTCCGGATGCTGAGTTAAGAAAGATGGCTTTTGCTACCTTAAAAAGGGTGAGATCTCTCTAGAGCCCTGTGTATTTTCATTCCTTGTTCGCATTATGTTTTCACATAATCAAACATTCAAGTATACAAACTCTTAGTATGTTTGTGGAAATATTCTTATGTTCATTCATGACATGTGGTTGCGTGATGTGCCATAGCAGACTAGAGGCTTTCCTATAGCAGACTAGAGGCTTTCCTATAGCAGACTAGAGGCTTTCCTATGAAGTTCAGTTCTAAACCACTCTATAAAAATGAAGCCCTAGAATGATCTGTTCAAAATTCTCTCTCTTTATTTAATCTATAGAAGGCTGTTACCAAAACCTTACTCCTTTGCTAGCCCTCCATTAAAAGTGCTGGGATGTCATGGGCCCAAGTCCGTACTGTGACAGTCCCTCCACCACTCAGTGGTTGGGATATGAACCTCAATCACATGATTAGGGGATCCCAAGTGAAATCTTTTGGTCTATGGCTTATAGAGTGAGCCATATGCTTAGTACCCTATCAATAGAACTCCACATCTCACTCAGAGATGAGTAAAATGTTAGCAACTACTAAATTTGGAGGTTAAAAAAAAAATTGTGTGCCAGTTGTCCCAGTTTTCCTCCCCACTTTTTTGTAACATGTTTATTGTAGTGTGCTCTGCTATTTCTTATGGCAAAGAATTCTTGCACTTGAAGAGCTTGCAGTTTATAGGGCTGGTGGCTTGATGCACCTTATTGCCCTGTTTGCTGCATATCTTTGTTTCTTTTTTCCTTGAGCTAAAGATGTTGAATTATTATATATTGTGTCTTTCATCTTATAGATTGTATCTCATATTATATATTAAAACATCGTGGTGCTAAGTCTTTTGTTATATACATACTTAAGAATGTTAATCATTTCGTCATTCTCCTGGGATCTGATCAAATGACAGGTGCTTGCTGATAATCCAGCTTCTTTAAGGCTTGACATAATGCAGGTCTTGGTTAAATCTAGCACCTCTTCATCCATGGTTAGACTTTGTCTCCTTATTTCTGTAGTTACATTGATCTATAATCCCACTATCGACATAGTGGACTCTGCATCACTCATCTAGCCAGTTGGTACTTTTTGCAGGTGGCAATACTTTTAGATTGCGTTAGGGAGAATCTTCGAAATGATTATCTTAAACTGCGAGAAGAGAAAGTGTCTTCTAGCTGCACTTTCTGGAATGCTAGCATACTTGAATTGGTAGAATTTGTTTTGAGACCCCCCAATGGAGGACCACCTTCTCTCCCTGAGCAAAGTGATGCGGTATTACTATTACATTCCTTAACTTTAATGATTTTTTAATTGGCTTCTTGGTTATTTTATATTGTTTCTGATCCTGGTACTCTTATTCTGTTCCTCTTATGATGTCTTGGGAAGAATGGGCAGACTGTATGTTCCTATATATCTTCTGATTCCACTTTGTTGTCATTAATTTAATTCGTAAATTGCAGGTTCTTTCAGCTCTTAACCTGTATAGATATGTTCTAATAGCAGAGAAAACAGGTGAGCATATTGCTTATACTTGAATCAATTTGTCTCTATGAGTGGCTTGCTTTGTATCTGTACATATGAATTGACTTCATTCTTCTGTGTTACTACTATCTCTCACCTGCAGTATGACTGAACCAATGCGTGTAACTCACAGGCTCACTGCTGTCAAGTGACCTTAAATATGATAATCTTGGCATGTCTTAGATGTGAGATATGTAGGTCACCCTGGCCCTTAGAGGCTTAGGGTGATGTTTGCAAAAAATTGCATGTATGGTGAGATTTGCCTATATCACAAACATTCACGAAAATGGAGGTCAATAGATCCAGATTTAAGGTTAATTAAGTGTTATAAGCTTATAACCACTTTGTCCCTGGTCTTGACACACGCTGGACAAATGTTGGAGTATAACTCATGATCGCGGAGTGTCTTAGAACCATTAAAGTCAAGTAAGATAGTGAAAATTTCCTTGATTTCTAGATTTCAAAGATCAAAGTATAGTCTTTGGATCTGAGAAGCAATTGGCATAGCTGAACTAAGGAAAATCCATAAATACAATCACAAAGTATCCATAAATACCGCACATGGTCAATTCCAAATCATAGGAGTTTGTGCTGCAATATTTTATTTTAAGATTAAGACTTTGTTACCATGATTGAGGTAAAGACTATACATATGTGCCTTGAGAATCTCTCAACAGTATGATTCCTCTGATTTGCATGGTCTGCTACACTGCGGGAGTGAGAATTTACAACTAGAATCTAGTGAACCTTATTTATAACTATGAACCTTTTCTTATTGTAGGAGAGTAAGCTTGGCACAGTGGGTGGGTTTTGGGGGTTCTAAGTGATTTTGCTTGGATGCACCGATCCTAGAGTTTTCCTGTGTCATTTGGGATTCTGCAGCTCACGGGGATGGTGATCTATTAAATGTTAAACATGTCGATCATAGACAAGATGGGAAAGACTCTTGGCTGTGTGAATATCTTGGACTAGGAATGATGATTGATGAGTCTCAATACAGCTCTAAAATTTCTATATCCTCAACAATCTATGTAAACTAGAACCGACAAAAGTTGACCCGACCCGAAATACAGACTCAAAACCGATTATTAAGCGACCCATCTGAACTCGAAAAAATGGTGACCTAAACCCGACCTGAAACCAACCCTAGGCCCGAGTTGACCCGAGTATGTGAGACCTGAACCCGAACATGAACGCACCCGGAGATGACCCGACCCGAATGTAACCCATAAATTATAGTCCTGAGCCGAACTCGAGTTTACCATGGTCCCTAATACCATGGTCCCTAATACCCTCCGGGAGTCCAATCGGATGGGTGGAACCATCCAATTTGCCTTTATAAGGCCAATTAACCGATTTACAACTTGCACCGATTTCATTAATTCAAGCCTACCACGAACATTTATTACAACATATGATGATCATATATGGTTCCAAACGGCATTATATGACCTCGAGATATATCTTCTAAAATCTCAAGCCTTTTCGACACCTGGCCCGAAACCTCAAAATTATCTCAACAAGCGTGAATTTTGGAAATTTTTGACTTTTTTCGCCCAGAAATAAAAATTGCCGAAATGTATACCATGGTCCCTAATACCATCCGAGAGTCCATTTGGGTGGATGGAACCATCCAATTTGCCTTTAAACGGCCAATTTACCGGTTTACAACTTGAACCGATTTCATTAACTCAAGCCTACCGCAAACATTTATGACAACATATAATGATCATTTTACATCGAAACGGCATTATATGACCCCGAGATGCATCCCCTAAAATCTCATTTCATTTCGAACCAGCTCCGAAACCTTAAAATTTCTCAAAAAGCGTGGATATTAGCCTTCAATATTGGAATTTTTTAGACATTTTTCGCCCGAAAATAAAAATTGCTGAAATTTTTACCATGATCCCTAATACCCTCCGAGAGTCCAATTGGGTAGCCGGAACCATCTAATTGGCCTTTAATCGGCCAATTTACCGGTTTACAACTTGCACCGATTTCATTAACTCATGCCTACCACGAACTTTTATGACAACATATAATTAATCATTTATGGTTTCAGACGGCATTATATGACCCCGAGATGTATCACCTAAAATCTTATTTCATTTCGACACCAGCTCCAAAACCTTCGAAATTTCTCAAAAAGCATGAATATTAGCTTTCAATTTTGGAATTTTTATACTTTTTTCGCCCGGAAATAAAAATTGCCGAAATGTTTACCATGGTCCCTAATACCATCCGAGAGTCCATTTGGGTGGGTGGAACCATCCAATTTGCCTTTAAACGACCAATTTACCGGTTTAAAACTTGAACCGATTTCATTAATTCAAGCCTACCGCGAACATTTATGACAACATATAATGATCATTTATGCATCCAAACGGCATTATATGACCCAAAGATGCATCCCCTAAAATCTCATTTCATTTCGAACCAACTCCGAAACCTCCAAAATTTCTCAAAAACGGTGGATATTACCTTCAATTTTGGAGTTTTTCGACTTTTTTTTTGCCCGAAAATAAAAATTGCCGAAATGTTTACCATGGTCCCTAATACCCTATGGGAGTCTTATTGGTTAGTTAGAACCATCCAATTTGCCTTTAAACGACCAATTTACCGAATTAGAACTTGCACCGATTTCATTAATTCCAACCTACTACGAACATTTATGACAACATATAATGATCAAATATGGTTCCAAACGGCATTATATGACTCCGAGATGTATCATCTAAAATCTCAAGCCTTTTCGATACCAGGCCCCTAAAACCAAGATTTCTCAAAAAGTGTGGAATTAGCCAATGTTTACCATGGTCCCTAATACCCTCCGAGAGTCCAATAGGGTGGCTGTAACCATCTAATTGGCCTTTAATCGGCCAATTTACTGGTTTACAACTTGCACCGATTTCATTAACTCATGCCTACCACGAACTTTTATGACAACATATAATAAATCATTTATGGTTTCAGACGGCATTATATGACCCCGAGATGTATCACCTAAAATCTTATTTCATTTCGACACCAGCTCCAAAACCTTCGAAATTTCTCAAAAAGCATGAATATTAGCTTTCAATTTTGGAATTTTTATACTTTTTTCGCCCGGAAATAAAAATTGCCGAAATGTTTACCATGGTCCCTATTATCCTCCGGGAGTCCAATCGGATGGGTGGAACCATCCAATTTGCCTTTATAAGGCCAATTTACCGAATTACAATTTGCACCGATTTCATTAATTCAAGCCTACCACGAACATTTATAACAACATATGATGATCATATATGGTTCCAAACGGCCTTATATGACCTCGAGATGTATCTTCTAAAATCTCAAGCCTTTTCGACACCTGGCCCCAAAACCTCAAAATTATCTTAAAAAACGTGAATATTAGACTTCAATTTTGGAAATTTTAGACTATTTTCGCCCGGAAATAAAAATTGCCGAAATGTTTACCATGGTCCCTAATACCATCCGAGAGTCCATTTGGGTGGGTGGAACCATCCAATTTGCCTTTAAACGACCAATTTACCGGTTTAAAACTTGAACCGATTTCATTAATTCAAGCCTACCGCGAACATTTATGACAACATATAATGATCATTTATGCATCCAAACGGCATTATATGACCCAAAGATGCATCCCCTAAAATCTCATTTCATTTCGAACCAACTCCGAAACCTCCAAAATTTCTCAAAAACGGTGGATATTACCTTCAATTTTGGAGTTTTTCGACTTTTTTTTTGCCCGAAAATAAAAATTGCCGAAATGTTTACCATGGTCCCTAATACCCTATGGGAGTCTTATTGGTTAGGTTGAACCATCCAATTTGCCTTTAAACGACCAATTTACCGAATTACAACTTGCACCGATATCATTAATTCAAACCTACAACGAACATTTATGACAACATATAATGATCAAATATGGTTCCAAACGGCATTATATGACTCCGAGATGTATCCTCTAAAATCTCAAGCCTTTTCGATACCAGGCCCCTAAAACCTTCAAGATTTCTCAAAAAGTGTGGATATTAGCCTTCAATTTTGGAATTTTTTTGACTTTTTTTCGCTCGACAATAAAAATTGCCAAAATGTTTACCATGGTCCCTATTATCCTCAGGGAGTCCAATTGGGTGGGTGGAACCATCCAAGTTGTCTTTAAACGACCATTTTACCGATTTACAACTTGCACCGATTAAATTAATTAATTCAAGTCTACGACGAACATTTATGATGACATATAATGATCATATATGGTTCCAAACGGCATTATATGACCTCGAGATATATCTCCTAAAATCTCAAGCCTTTTCGAAACCTAGCCCCGCAACCTCAAAAATTTCTCAAAAAACGTGGATATTAGCCTTCAATATTTGAATTTTTTAGACATTTTTCGCTCGAAAAATAAAAATTGGTGAAATGTTTACCATGGTCCCTAATACCGTCCGAGAGTCCAATTGGGTGGCTGGAACCATCTAATTGACCTTTAATCGGCCAATTTACCGGTTTACAACTTGCACCGATTTCATTAACTCATGCCCACCACGAACTTTTATGACAACATATAATAAATCATTTATGGTTTCAGACGGCATTATATGACCCCGAGATGTATAACCTAAAATCTTATTTCATTTCGACACCAGCTCCAAAACCTTCGAAATTTCTCAAAAAGCATGAATATTAGCCTTCAATTTTGAAATTTGTATACTTTTTTCGCCCGGAAATAAAAATTTCCGAAATGTTTACCATGGTCCCTAATACCCTCCGGGAGTCCAATCGGATGGGTGGAACCATCCTACTTGCCTTTGTAAGGCCAATTTATCGAATTACAACTTGCACCGATTTCATTAATTCAAGCCTACCACGAACATTTATGACAACATATGATGATCATATATGGTTCCAAACGGCATTATATGACCTCGAGATGTATCTTCTAAAATCTCAAGCCTTTTCGATTCCTGGCCCCTAAACATCAAAATTATCTCAAAAAGCGTGAATATTAGACTTCAATTTTGGAAATTTTTGACTTTTTTCGCCCAGAAATAAAAGTCGCCGAAATGTATACCATGGCCCCTAATACCATCTGAGAGTCCATTTGGGTGGGTTGAACCATCCAATTTGCCTTTAAACGCCCAATTACCGGTTTACAACTTGAACCGATTTCATTAACTCAAGCCTACAACGAACATTTATGACAACATATAATGATCATTTATTCATCCAAACGGCATTATATGACTCTGAGATGCATCCCCTAAATTCTCATTTCATTTCGAACCAGCTCTGAAACCTCCAAAATTTCTCAAAAAGTGTGGATATTAGCCTTCAATTTTGGAATTTTTCGACTTTTTTTTTGCCCGAAAATAAAAATTGCCGAAATGTTTACCATGGTCCCTTATACCCTCCCGAAGACCAATTGGTTAGGTGGAACCATCCAATTTGCCTTTTAATGACCAATTTACCGATTTACAACTTGAATCTATTTCATTAATTCAAGTTTACCACGAACATTTATGTCAACAAATAATAATCATATATGGTTCAAAACGACATTATATGATCTCGAGATGTACCTCCTAAAATCTCAAATCTTTTTGACACCTATCCCCAAACATCAAAAATTTCTCAAAAAGTTAAATTATTTTCGAATTTTTTGGACTTTTTTTCGTCTGAAAATAAAAATTGCCGAAATGTTTACCTTGGTAGCTAATACCCTCCGAGAGTCTAATTGGGTGGGTGGAACCATCCAATTTACCTTTAATTGACCAATTTACCGATTTACAACTTGCACCGATTTTATTAACTCATACCTGCCACGAACATTTATGACAACATATAATGATCATTTATAGTTCCAAACGGCAAATTATTGTCTTGAACCGAACCTGAGAATCACCCTTACCCGTGAAAACCCGAACTAAAACCGACTTATTGTTTACCCGACCCGAATGTAACCTGACATGTTATTAACCTGACCTAAACCCGACCCAAACCCGATAAGAAGTATGATTGACGTGACCCGACTCAAGCATGACCCAACCCAAACCTGACCCGCATAGGTTATGGAATTAATCTGAATTGACCTGACCCGAGTTGACCCGACCCAAACCCGACCGGTTTACCCGAATTGACAGCTCTAATGTAAACAAGTATTTTACATGTTTGGGCTTGCTAACCCTCTTCAGCAAACCAATACCTACAACGCTTATAATCATTGTTGTGGATAAGGGACAACGTTGGCTTGTGCCTGAGAAGTGCCAACAGCCTGCCATTTGCCCATTTGCTTGTACCCATGCCAGGTTTGCATAGGGTATGAAGTGCAGTTGGACTAAGGGGGGAAAAAAAAAAAAAAACTTGTCAATTAAAGGGTCTTAAGTGCTTAGGGATCATTTGCAGGCCCACCACTCACCAGGCCTTAGTACTGTTTGGCTGGAAGCTATCCTTTACTCATGGTTGTCAAGTTTTGGTGTAATTTTTGCGAGATATCTTATCAACAAGTAGGATGAATTTTAACCTTTTTTTTCCCTAATTTTGAGAATCTGAGTAGTTAGCTCCTGCATTCTCTAAAGTCTATAGAACTAGTGTTTGGTCAGATTATCAGAATTTAGGGTAACATGGGTATACCTGGTCTGTTGTTCATTAGTGTGGTTACACAAAGATGCAAGATCTTGCCACATGTTATTATGTTAAGAGTAGTCTCTGAGGGCTACCTTGGATGCCAAGAGCCTATATGACCAGTTAATTCAATGGCAGTTACTAGGAGGCTACATGCAGATTCCAAGGCAAAACTTTATTTAGTCGTGGGCTATTGGTTTCCAAGGGCTTCTGGGCTAAGAGGTATTATGATTGACCCAGGATTGATGTTATCCCCTCAATCAAGCGTTTTAATCTTATTTATGCCCGGCCAGAAACCTGCAATAACTGGATATGTTATGGAATCCCTTTCTGAACCTTGGATTGAGCCAGGCTGCCGATAAGTTTGATATCACTTATGCAGGGACCTGTCACTGTGGTTCTAGGACATGTGTGATGCCAGAACCCAACTAGGCACCAGTATGGCTTTGCTCTAAGTTCCTAACAGCAACCATGTACTTCTTTCTTAGCCTGCTGCACAGCTTTTCATAGCCTATAAAGCACTCAGATGCCACAATTATTACTTTGCTCTCACCAAGCTTAGCTTGACTTACTGCATCACTTAATAATGTGTTTTGTTAGCATTAATGGTGGAAAGGGGAGGGTATGGAAATAAGGGTAAGGGTGATGAGTGGAGAAAAGGACGAAAAGGATTATGCTTCCATTTCCTTAAAATTCTTTATAATAGTGAAAGGATATGTTGATTAAAAGGGGATGGAAAATGGATCCATCCTATTCTTTTCTGTTCTTTGTTCCATATCCCGTGTCCTAAAATAGTAAAATAGATCCCTATCTTTGACTACCCATTCCTCCAACAAAAATGAGCATGTGATGGCATTTCATAGTAGTAAAAAGTTTATATTAACATCTCAGTATCCCTTAAATTTCCAGACCAATAATTTTTTTTTGCATAATTTGTTTCTGTATCTGTACGAGACTATGAATTTTGTTTCAAAAATTTTGATGCCAGAATATTGACTGCTGATACAGGGAACACAAACTACACAGGTGTCGTGTCTAGAAACAAATTAGAGGAGGTGTACAGAAAATGGCTCTTGCCTCTAAGAACTTTGGTGATGAGCATAAATGCAGAAAACAAGAATGGTGATGAGCAACTTGCAACGGACATAATGTGCGGATTGAACCCTCTTGAGCTCGTTTTGTACCACTGTATTGAACTTGTTGAATAGACCATTAGACAGTCATGATGGTTGGTGACTCAAACCTGAATGTCCCCCCCCCCCTATCTTGGCTGTTTTCATTACATTTATATAAATATTGTTCTTTTGTGTTTCCCCTTGTTATCAGGATTAGTTGGGGGTTAGATTATTAAACTCTTCAAGATACCTCTGTTGTTAAAGCTATCAACATTACTCATCATTGATTCTTTACATAATGAGTGGAACAATTGATTTTTGAAATTTGAAGGTCTTTTTCTTTTGCTTTAATTATATTCTTTTATAAGTTTTGCATTTTCTGTATCTTCTTACCCTCTATTTCCATTCATTCTTGAATTTGCTGGGCTCTTTTTTTTTTTTTTTTTTTTTAGAAGGTAAACCTTTCAGGCCTTACAAGAATGCAAGGAAGCTGTAGCCGAGAGTCCGAGCTCGATTATAGCTGTAAGCACCGTCCTGTAGTAGACTTGTGAACAATTCTAAAACATTTGTATCTTTTTTTCACCTTTGGTTTTGTGTAAGACAGGTATAAGAGGGATAAGTTTTTATTATATTTGTCAGGAAATAAAAAGTATAGGTTATAGACAAATTCATGATTCCGAGAGGGTGAGCAGCTTACCTGACATGATATACAAAATCAATCATGATTCCCGCCCCCTTATATAAAATACATCTTTATCAGCCATTATATACCTACTTGCAACAATATGCTTAGAGAGTGGATTTGTTTCCATTTTATAAACTTTAGACTCAAGCAATGTCTAGTTGACTCCAGATCTATAATCTTATTCTTTGTGGGGATCTAAGTTGGTAAATGTTTGTACTTTCTCTACCGTGAAAGCTTAATGTTAAGCGGTTACTTCCTCCGCTCCAAATACTAGTCTCTTTTTTACTTGGGATAAAAATGTAGAGAGTGACAGAGAGAGTGTGTGTGTGTTTTTTTTTTTTGGTTAGAATGTTGGGATTAAGTTACCAGCTATATAAAATAGTTTATCGTGATTCTTGTTTGTCACATTTTGACGGGATTGAGTATATATTGTTTACCTTGACTTATTAAAAAAAAAAATGGCAAAAACTAACGAATGAGGAGTTGGATAAAATAACTAAAAATAAAAATATTAAATTAAAATGAACATTTATTACAACGATCGACGCGTGATTTTGACATGAATTCTTAAATTAATACTAGGAAATATTTCAAATGCTAAACTAACACTCCGGAGGTGTTCATTTGCAAGATCCTAATTCAAAAGTGATATAAAAAGTCAATATGAGTACATGAAAAACAATATAAAAATTGAGATAATAGTACTAGGTGAAAAAATAAAAAACAATTAGCCATATATTGCATTATTTATTAGAGTTAGAATGTAAAAGGGAGATCCGACATACCAGTAATTAGAAATGAATTTTGGGAAATGAAGGGTAAGATTTCAAGTCAACCAACAAATAAAACATTTACTCTATTAAATTTTATTTAATGATTTATGCAAGTGTTTGTGGATGTTTTCATGTTGTCTTGTTTACTTTACCCTTTCCTTTCTACTTTTAAATTTTTAATAGTCGGTGGTAGCTCAACTGTCGGACTCAAAAACGGGTCAAAACTGATTTATTACCCATTTTTTATTTCAACTTTTCCAACTATTACCATGGTTGAATACAGCTCTCACACACACACACACAGGCCCATTTGAGGCCCAAAGAATTCCCGACAATAAGCCCAATAGGAGAAAGGCCCAAATGTAGCAATTAATGGCATGAAAGCTTCCACAAGGTGGGGAACACCATGACAATTGGTCAGCTGTTCCACGCCACCTAGACCATTTCAAAAGTCATATTTGGACCACACTATTTTTAATGTTATTTTGACATATTCTTACAAATACACGTATTAATTTATTAATATAAATGTGAAATATGAATGAAAATTAATGGTCAACTTTTTACTCACGAGATTCAAATGTTTTTCTTTGTGCAACCAGCATCTCTTGTTTGATGGTTACCAATAAACATACCAAATATGCCTATCTAAATAGATACAAATTTAAAGGTAGGTCTTTGAATTGTTATGAAAATCTTTTGACTAATACTATCTTCCCCTTCACACACTATCCAGCCACAATTAGGACAGGATAGATAATAAAACAATGTAGTCGGAAAGGAATCTACAGTTAGGCATACAATATTTACCAATACGCCGAATCAACTTTTGCAAGGGTGCTATCTATCTTCACCCTCTGTTACAACATTTGAAATAAAAATGGACCGAGTTCGAATCTAAGTAGCTCAAACACATCACCAAGGCGGAGTATCAATGATTGTATGATTGTATCCATGTACAAACAAATTCCATACAGATACATCCTAAGGAACTTGAAGAGTTGCATAATCAAACCATCTTTTATCTTACATTCAAATTTGTAAGCTACAAAACAAAGGAAAGAATCCAATAGACCATAAACTTTGTCTATATTATCTTGTAAATAATATAGAATTCATTGTACCGACTGGAACTATCTGTAAAGCTGAATATATTGAATCCAAAATTGGGTACTCAGGCAGCTCCTGATGCTGATAATATCATGCAACAGAAAACCGTATATTTTCTCAAGTTAGAAAGAAATTAAATTATGTCATGAAATTAGATAGATTCTAACATCTATTGTACAACTGCCCATAAGACATAAATACCTAATTAAGGAAAGAATATAATGGCACAGAATACATTAAGTAACGTATTTTGTTCTAGATGCAAAGAAGTGAAAGGGCTTACCCCAACGAATTTTTGGAGCAGTAGCGAGCAAAGATGGTAGAAAATCTGACCGAAAAAGGAAAAAAGAACGAACATTTGAGTATCTGTATATTATCTAACTATGAATACTAAGCTTATCGTAGATTGCCCAGATTTGTATTAGCATCTGGGCAGTAAATAACCAAGTGAATCCCCTAAGTCCTGCTGTAATTACACCTGTCTGATGGAGGGCTCTTCAGTCATCGCACAGTTGAACAAAGCGCCAACCAGAAGTAAACCTTAGAAACTGTTAGCTTCAAATTTTGGAAAATGAGGTAATGGAAACTTCGTTTCATCAGCTCATTCCAACGACTGCATCCTCATCTGGCACCACATTTAGATCAGGTAGCATAAATAGGGAATCATGCGATGTTGCACATTTCTGTGATAATGAATCAGGCTCTGAAGCATCCTCAATTTTATTTTGTCTTGATACACTCGAAGAGGCTGCTTCTGATATTCCATTGTTCGTGTTATTACGTTCATCAACTGAATTTGCTTCTGATTTTATTCTGGATTCTACTTTAAGGTCAAGCTGTAGAACAAGTCAAAGAATAGAATTAGTATCTTATACACCAAATGAAGACTTCAATAATCACTAAAAGAACAATTCTATCATTTGAAACAATTCCCTTAGTAAAGTTACATAAGCATCAGCATTCACAAGCATATGTGCAGTTCAATCAACAGTCTAGAAGTTGAACACAGAAGCACTCGAAGCCATTAAGAATCAATTTTTACTCAGTTTCCAACTAAACAACCTTTCAAAATTTGACAATGAAATTCAAAGTATCTACTAAACCTCCATTCCAAATTCCAACAAATAGTTGTCATTTCATAATAGAAAAATTATAGGGGCAGTGAAATTTCAAAATAGTGAGGCAACCAGTAAGTTTGGAATGTGACTTTTCTAATCAGTATATCAGCTTGTGTCAATCTTTATGCAATCTTTTACATAGTACAGGGTTAAGACTAGAAAACAAAATGAAGAAAGCACACCAGAAAGGACTCAGGGTTAACTTCTAAGTTCAAGACAAACAGAAGGTCGCATCAGGGGAAATAAAAACATACCTTAATTCTCTTTAGATTCTCATTTATTGATCTCTCCTGTTTCAAGGTTACGCGTAATGAAGCCAACTCCTGTTAAGAGATATAAAAATATCATCAGTAAATTACTTCCAGAAAAAAGAACAAGCTAGCTAAGACTCTGACCAAGTTCAACAATACAAACCTTTTTCAAATATGTCCGCTCCTTCATCAATGAATTTTCCTCCTCTTTTAGTTCAGCAAATGTCTAACAAAAGTTGACAAAATCACGCATAAGATCATCACAGCATATGAAACAGAATAATCATTTCAATAAGGAAATGAAAACAACTGTGTGGTGCATCAGAGGGTGCATCGATTCGACACACCAGTGATAATAGAAAAGTAAGGCTTAAATGGCCATAAGAGATGCAATACCTTCTTCCTCCTAGGTCTTTTGCTGGTCGTGGTGGCCGGGGTTTCAGTGGAAGCTGAAATCTGTAACAACCAACCATGAAGAAGAGGTCAGATTTTATACACGTACAAGAATCCAAAATCAGATGAAACAACTCATGCTACAATTTAAGCAAGTAATTAAGACAATGATTTGGTGACCAACTTGAGAATGCTATAACTGTCATTTGATACAAAAAATAGAAAGAATGTCCCCCCATATAACATTAGTCATTACTCCAATTAGATCAATTCCACATTACTCCAAGCTCTTATACCAGCATTGCTAGTTTTAGCATTAGATCCACATGATTATAAACCGATATTTAGAATGAGGGCCCACTTAAAAGTGATTTAAAAGGGAAGGAGGTGTTCAATCAAAAGTTCATAAATTTGGAAATTCCATAACATTTTTTTTACATACAACTAATCATAATAATAATAATAATGTTTGTAATTTGCAACATAATTTCAACTCAAAATCCCGCAAATTAACTTCAAAATCTAAAGATAGATTAAAAAGATTCAAACTTTGGCCTACCTAACAAGATTTTAAAAGCTTTGAGAAAATTAAGAAAAAAAATGATTTGTAAAAAAGAGTGGGGCCTAGATTATTGGATAAGCAACTAATTCCCACCCATGACCCATCCATCACTCACATGAAACTTCAAACCACCATCTTCCAAATATTAACACCCTCTTAAAGTGGGACCCCAGATAATCCCAACCGTCAATCACCATCATAAACCCCACTAAACAATTCCCCCTCAAGTCATGGACGGCTCAGATTTAAGGATCATCATAAGATCAGTAGAACTGGCAAACACTAGATTAAAACAAAAGTATAGCACCTTCAAAAATGTCAGCAGCCACGTGGAAGGCTGCTACTAGTCACCGGCAACCGTTAACCGCCAGCCCAACAAAGCTGATAACATAACCGCTGTCTTTAAGCCACGTGACCGACTCCAACCGGTGGCACTACTATCACGTGAGATTCATGGCCCCCACATTCATATCCTCACGTGACTTCTTCCTCTCCATTCCCTTAACGCGTGGGATTGTACTAGTGGTTCCTTGCACACTACTACACTCCACGAACCCCATTATAATTTTTTTAATTATTAAAAAAATAAGTTAAAATAATACTCTTTAAAGTTTTTTTTTTTCAAAAGCTAAGGGCGTGTCACAAAGGCAAACACATTTGAACTTGTACACTTATAACCATAAGATTTAGTCTTGTAGGTGACTCGCAAAAGTAGACTTAAGATGATAAGATGTTTGTTTGACTTGCGAAAAACCCGAAAAATGAGGAGCGGCGCATGGGAACAGAGATGAGCGCGTGAAGAGAGGATAAAAACCAAGTAAGTTTGAAGAGGAGAGAGAAAGTATAGCATCTAGTAAAAACACCATTTAAAACCAAAAACCAAACGCGGACCTAACGCCACACACCAACAACTTACAACCCCCTCTCTTTCTTTTTCTTCTATGGTTCAATCTACTTGGGTCCCACGCCCAAACTACATCCCCCATTCCATTTAAATGACCTTTATGCCCTTGATAAAGGTGAAAACAGTAGAATGCCATTTAGGGTACTTAGCTAGGGTAAATACGTCATTTGAGGAGAGAGAAGGAGGAGGCGTTGGGTGGAAGTTTCCTAAACACAAGTAAAAAGTAAGTCATCCAATGACTAATGTCTCTTTTTTCTGACAATATTGTCCTTGTAACTTCTTAAACCCTTTTACAAGGGTACTTCCGACAAATCCAACCTCCACCCACTTCTCCTAAATTAAATTAAAATTAAAAAGGTAAGTTAAAGAAAACAAGTTTTTCTTTTTTTTTTTATTTTTCCTAAAAAAGAAAAATAAAAATTTTAGTAGCGGAAAACAAGAATGACAGCTGACCGGGAAAGTGGTGGCGACGAGAAAACTGAATAAACGTGACAACACTTTATCTCTCCTTCTTCTTCATCTTCTTCTTCTTCAGATTAAACAGACACGCTCCTACTCACGTGACATGTAATTACATAAATCTGGAAAGGGTAATCTAGCCGTGTTTACACTACTCTCTCTCCGGAGGGTCCCCCTCCAGCTGACACGTCATAGGTAGCCGGAGAGGAAGATCCGGGATGCTGACAAGGGTATTTTGGTAAATCCGTCCTCAAAAGGACAAAAAAATGTGAATTTATGTTTTCGAAAAAAAATACACTCAAAAAAGGAAGGAAATACTGTTGAGAAAAATTGAAAAGAATGTTTTAGGAAAAAAACGGAATTAGAGTGACGGACAGCGTGGACAAAGGGGAGTTAAAAAAATTAATGGGAAAATGAAAATTAAGTGAGTGACTAACCTTGGATCTGAACCGATCGAACGGCTGAGGATGAAGGTGGTTGGTATGAAATGAGAGAGACTCGTCGCAACCTTCACTGGGAGATGCGGCGCAAGTCCAGGAGAGGGGTGTCGTGGGACTCCGGCGAGTTTCTCGCTTTTTGTCGGCGGAGGAAGAAGAAGACGGCGGTTTGGAGCGGCGTTGACGGAGGCCCCATGACGGCGGAAGAGGCTTGAGGATGAAGGAAGAAGAAGAAGAGGTTGGAGATTCTTTGAGGCGGAGTAGAAGGTCTGCTACTACGGTGTCGTCGATGATTGCTGCTCTTAACCACTCGTCTTTCATGGTGGCGGAGAGAGAAAGCGAAAGGGAAAGGAGGGTGAGAAGAGAGAGAGAGAGAGAGGAGAAAATGAGGAGAGAGAAAATAAGGAGAGCGAAAATGAGGGGGAATGGATGGAAAGATGGGATGAGTGTTGTGTTGTATTGTGTTGGGTGAAGGGCTGAATATTATGGAAATTCGTGGGTTTTTTCTTTTCTTTTTTATTGTGGAAATCATTTTTTTTATTTTTTTATTTTTTAATCGTACTCTGTACATAGGTAAGAAGAGTGTGTCCTATCGTATGTAAAACCTTGCACAAGTTAATCAAACCCGAGCTCACGACCTAACGAGCAAAGATAACTTAGGAGTCGGGTGGATGAGTAAGAGAGTTCAGACATCCTTTGATGCTAGAGCCCTCATATAATGGTTACTCGCATAAACTCAAAGTTGTGAGATACAAACTACAATCCTAACTTTATTTTAGATCGATAATTTTATGTTTATTTTATAAGGGGGTTAGTAGGTCTGAGAGTGGCTGACTCTCTCTTTATGTGGGTTCAATGAGAAGTGGGGTCCATTAAGGATATATACGTGGCAAGTGACATTAGTTATACCCAGTGGTTTTTTTGGTTTCACTTCAATTTCTATATTTTTCTTCCGTTTACTTCTTTTTCAGTGGTTTTAAAAATGTTTTAGGGTTTGGTTTCGGGTATTCGGGTAATTTGATTGGAATCGGGTATGGGTATTGATGGTATAGCCGTATAGTGGGAATGGCCCAATAAGGGAGACGAAAATGTTAGGCGTGGGGTGGATGCATTCATCATCAAAGGCTGACCTGTCAAAATTGTTGAGAAATGATAATCATATCAAAAAATATGGTTCCATTTCACATTTCAAACTTAAACTCACTAGTCACTACAGTACTTTATGCACTGTACTTTGTTTAAATTCTAAACTTCCCAAACTTGCCAACTACTCCTTGTGCCAATTATACCATAGATAACGTTTTTAAAACTAGTTATAGTATCAAAATAACCTTAGTTGTTTATTTGTATGTAAGATTATTCCAAAATCTGGATTTAATAATTTAGGATATTTGATTCAGTATTTATTTTGAATCGAAAAGTTTCGGACATTGGATACCTGAAAAGTTATTATTATACGAGTATTGATTTTATGATAGCCAAAAAATATCATTGGTATTATAATTATAGATCTTAGGTAATTAGTGGATATCTTATTCAAATATAAGAGTTCCATAAAATATCTGTCAAAAAAAAAAAAGTGTGTAGTAATTTAAAAAAATAAAAATAAAAAATAGGTGTCTTAACATTATTTGTTAAAAAAAAAAAGTGTACCAACATACAAGTATGACAGACCAATTCATCGATCACCTATCGATCATTTTAGGATGAAACTCTTTCCCTCGGTTTTATATCTTATTACTACGTATCTAAATACTACTGAGAGTGAGGGATATGCTCAAGTAGTTAGAGCTTCCCTCCTGATCTAAAGAGATTTTGGGATCGATTCCGTTTCTTATAAAGTACGTATTATGTTACAAAGGGGTATAATTTGTGAGGCGAAATATAAAATATTTATTTGTTGCATATAATAAGAAACATAGCTAAGTAATAACTTGGCTCCAAAATTGAAAGGGGTGACACCACTTTAAAACAAGGGCAAACAAAAACTACACTTGATTGCTGAAGGGGTCAAACCATTACAAAAATAAAACCAATTTTTAAATATCTCTAATTTCAAAACTTAAAATGAAACATGATTAATCGATTGCATGGTAAAAGGAAAACTACTCAAATGACCGGATGAAAACTTTAAAAATTGGATCCTGATTAACCTTACACTAAAAATTTAAATCTAAATCAAGTGAAGCAAATAGTGTAAAGTACAAAGAACAGATTTGTCTAATATTTCCCTGTAAAACCCATACTCATTCCTTTTTTCATTCTTTAGTAAGCTATAAAGCAAAAAGAGCAGTTAAATGCAACAAAAGAAAGTGTGTTTGCATCAGTTTTTATCACCTTCTTTCTCTTTAGAATTTTTCTTTTTTTGGGTAAGATCTTTTTCTTTATTGTTAGTATTATTATTAATAGGAGTATTAATTATTTATAGGTCTATGATAAATATTTACCTTTTTAATCTTGAAGAATCTTGACTAAAAGTTGAATAGTCTTTGGCTGTGACTTGTGTGTGTACTAAACGTGAAACAAATGAGCGTCAAACAATACGGTCCATGATGATGTATTATAACAGCAAATACAATAATACGGAGAACGGAGATATAGCTGGGGACTTTAAGGGATGGAAAAAGTAAATTAATGGCATTTATTTTATAGAAATTTATAATTTGAAATAAATGAATTTTCTTTTTGCCATGCAAATGGACTTAGATTTGTTGTAAATGCAAAATAAGTAAAACTCAAATGGACTTGCATGCATTTCTGAGTAAATCTATGTTCCAAGTATAATCTAGTACAAAATATAGAAATTGAAGCTCGAGTTAACTTAAGTCTGGAGATTAACTTACGGCATATTCTCTTCAACTTATTTTCAGTTCAGTTCAGTTTTTATATTAATTTCCTTATCTCATAAGATATCCAGTTCAGCTCCAATAAGTTTAGTTTAGTTCAACTCAGTTCAGTCAATCTTTTGAGTTGTTATGCATGTTTTGCTTTGCTCTGTCTTGCTTTGTTCAACTGAAATCTATTATGATCTGCAATGTGTTGGAAGTTCTGTTCTACTGTGCTGAAATTTGTTCTGCCCTGCTAATATTTGTTCTGCTCTGTTCAGCTAACTCCATCTCTGCTCTATCTAGAAGCTCAAAAAATAGGGTCTTAGCTTATTTGCCCCAAGTGCCAATTAAACATGTAATGACACAAGGTATATATTGCTCGCCTCACACCTAATAATAAGTTATGTGTAGATACCTAAGTTCGTTGCAAATGAACATAAATTATGAGCCCAAAGAGAACAATGCAGTTTATATAACTAATTAAGGCTCTGTTTGATTCAACTTATTATTTTGTTTCAATTAAACTTATTTGAATTGTATAAACTTTAAAAGTTGAACCTATTTTGGCTAGTTAATTTTATTTTTATTTAAATAAGCCTTGTTTATGTGCATAAACTAATTAAGGCTCCGTCTGATTCAACTTATTTTGTTTCAATTTAACTTAATTGAATTTTATAAACTTAAAAAGTTGAACCTATTTTGGCTAGTTAATTTTTTTATTTTTATTTAAATTATAAGCCTTGTTGTGTGCATACGAAAATTATCTAACCTATTTTATTTGACCTTTTTAAAGAAACTTATTTAGTAAGAATATCCGTGTGAAAAAAAGAAATGATATTTTAGAAAAGAAACTTATTTAGTTAAATTCTTAAATTGAAGGCTAATATCCATGTTTTTTTTTGAAATTTCGAAGGTTTCGGGCCGGTGTCGAAAATAAATGATATTTTAGGGGATACATTTCGGGGTCATATAATGCCGTTTGGAATCATAAATTATCATTATATAATGTCATAAATGTTCGTGGTAGGTTTGAGTTAATGAAATCGTTGCAAGTTGTAAACCGGTAAATTAGTTGTTTAAAGGCAAATTGGATGGTTTCAACCACCTAATTGTACTCTCGAAGGGTATTAGGAACCATGATAAACATTTTGGAAATTTTTATTTCCGGGTGAAAAAAAGTAAAAAATTCCAAAATTGAAGGCTCATATCCACGCATTTTGAGAAAATTTTGAGGTTTCAGGGCCACGTGTCCGAAAAGGCTTGATATTTTAGGAGATACACCCTGGGGGTCATATAATGTCGTTTGGAACCATATATGATCGTTATATGTTGTCATAAATGTTCGTTGTAGGCTTGAATGACTGAAATCGGTGCAAGTTGTAAATCGGTAAATTGGTCGTTTAAAAGCAAATTGGATGGTTCCACCCACCCAATTGGACTCCCAGAGGGTATTAAGGACCATGGTTAACATTTCGGCAATTTTTTATAACCGGGCAAAAAAAAAGTCAAAAATTCCAAAATTGAAGACTAATATCCACACTTTTTTAGAAATTTTGGAGGTTTCGGGGTCGGGTGTCGAAAAGTCTTAAAACTCTAGGGATATATCTCGGGGTCATATAATGCCGTCTGGATTCATATATGTTCACTATTTGTTGTTATAAATGTTCGTGGTAGGCTTGAGTTAATGAAATTGGTGCAAGTTGTAAATTGGTAAATTGGTCATTTAAAGCCAAATTAGATGCTTCCACCCACCCAATTGGACTCCTGGCGGGTATTAGGGACCATTGTAGACATTTCGGAAATTAAACTTTTATTTTCGGGCGACAAAAAGTAAAAAAAATTCCAAAATTGAGGCTAATATCCTTGCTTTTTGAGAAATTTCGAAGGTTTCGGGGCTGGTGTCGAAATGAAATGAGATTTTAGGGAATACATTTCGGGGTCATATAATGTCATTTGGAACCATAAATGATCATTATATGTTGTCATAATTTAAATGTTCGTGGTAGGCTTGAGTTAATAAAATCGGTGCAAGTTGTAAACTGGTAAATTGGTCGTTTAAAGGTAAATACGATGGTTCCACCCACCCAATTGGGCTCCTGGAGGGTATAAGCTAAGGGACCATGGTAAATATTTCGGCCATTTTTATTTCCGGGCGAAGAAAAGTAAAAAAAAAAAATTCCAAAATTGAAGGCTAATATCCACGCTTTTTGAGAATTTTCGGAGGTTTCGGGGCCTAGTGTCGAAAAGCCTTTAGATTTAAGGGGATACATCTCGGGATCATATAATGCCGTTTTGAACCATATATGATCATTATATGTTGTTATAAATGTTTGTGGTAGCTTGAGTTAAAGAAATCGGCGCAAGTTGTAAACCGGTAAATTGACCATTTAAAGGCAAATTGGATGGTGTCACCCACCCAATTGGACTCCCGAAGGTTATTATAGACCATGGTAAACATTTCGGCAATTTTCGTTTCAAGGAGAAAAAAAGTCAAAAAAATTCAAAAATTAAAGGTTATATATAAGCTTTTTTAGAATTTTTAGAGTCTTTGGGGCTTGGTGTTGAAAAATCTTGAAATTCTAGGGAATACATCTCGGGGTCATATAATGTCGTTTGGATCCATATATGATCATTATTTGTTGCCATAAATGTTCGTGATAGGTTTGAATTAATGAAATCGGTGTAAGGTGTAAACTGGTAAATTAGTCGTTTAAAGGCAAATTGAATGGTTC